ATCTTTGTCCCACTTGTCCTCCTTTCGGTGGGCTGCAAAAACCACATCACTTCTTTCTTGTTTCTTTAACTCCGTGTTGAATTATTCTTCTTCTTTTACACACACAATTAAAATATATCTATTATTTTAGTTATTAATGGGAAAGGAAATTCCATTTACATACAAATGCTTTCCCTGGTAGTGATACTTCGGTCGGCTGATTTTGTGTCCTTTTTCGTACTGTTGATCAAATTTTTTGTGTAAATATAAAATATGGATACTTTTTCTGTGAGGTCGAAGATATTCGTTATGTCGTATTAGAAGTGTCACGCTATCATAAAAAATGAAAAAGAAAAGAGTCACACTATGTGCCTTTGGAATTTTTTATGAAATTTCTGTAAATATAATACCAACAGGAAACAAAATAATAGGCAGAAAAATTTCTGTGGCCATTGGAAGAGATCTCAAAAGAAAGAATTGTACTTTAATTTCTTGTTATTTTCAGAAGCTAGGGACCAACTTGGCCCCAGAAATGGCTGGCTCATAAATGAAGCCTATAGTTTAAGAGATTACCTTTTTTAAAATACATATATGTTACATCCAGTCCTAATTATAAGGCATCGTTTGTAGTCTACAAATATAGTCTTATAAATAACACCAGAGTTAGCATATGTTTAAAAATATACCGAGTGATATCTGTATTCTTCATATCTATATATAAAATAACTTTCAGTTTCAAGTTTATTTTTAAAAAAAAAATGCACCAAGGACACACTTTTCCAAATCTCGATTTTGAAATTAACATTAATTAAGCCTCTTCTTTTTACCCCTATGATAATGGGGTTAAGTAATCACAATTCTGTATAGAGTATACAATTCAGCGATCAAGTCCAGCATATATATACATTGACGTCATTAATTTAATTTAATCGTATCGAAATTTTAATTAAAAAGAGAGTTAGTAATGATCTATATATCATGAATCTCTCGAGATCAACAAATTCAATCAAATGATCATAATTTACTAATGTAAAATGTATCTAGAAAAAGCCGTATTTATAAAATTTCCCTCTCCTATATATATGTGTGTTTGTATGTATATGATATACCAAGTGTATCCTTATCCTACTTATTTGCACATTATAAATGTTTCAGGGAAATATTAGTTTCTTTTTAAAAGTGTATCCTTATCCTAAGCACCTTTAGGACAACAACTTTCACAAACATTTATGTTAATAAATTGAAATAAAATACACATATATGTACTAAAAAAGATACTAACTCCTATTTTAATATAAGAAGAGGATAACTAATTTAAAGATATTAAAAAAAATTTAGTTAGTTACTTGTTAATTGTTATAAATATATGTTGGTTTTTCTAAAACATTATTTTTAATCACATGTATTGGAAGTACCTTTGATCAAAATTCTTTTTTTTATATGAAATTAATAAGAATACTTTGAAAAAAAATAATGATAAATTTAAAAGACAAAATGGACTAATATCTTATATACTACCAAAGTAAATTTTTTTTTGGTCTTAACTCTTATATCTATATATAGGACCAATAATAATTCTTCTCACAGGTCCGAAGAAATAAGGCATATATAAGAAAGCATTCAAGTCCGAAGAAATAACAGGGACACACACGTACGATGTTGCTGATTTGATAATTATTGATGAAGTGGGCCAATAATAGAGAAGGAAGATTGATGTGTCATTTCAGTGAGATTGATGAGTGGACAGAAATATGAAGGATTCTGAGGATGTAATATAGGAAGAAGAAGAAATAGTGAAACCCTAGTTCATGTCATGATATGATCATTTGATCCCAACATGTGTGCTTTTAATTTAATTTTGTCGACCCGCTTCAAAGCTGTCGTCCTTGAGATTAACCCTTTTTCCACCGTTCATGTCGTTGACACACACACACACATATGATCCTGTTCACAAATCAGGTGAAACAGTACTTTTACTTTATCATTGTTTAATATATATATTTTTAAAAATAATTATTTATACTATAATAAATAAAAGAAAATAGTAGTTTGCGTTCATAGTTTGTATTATAAAAACCTAACGAAATGACTTATATTTTTTTTTATAAATAAGATCAAAGGAGTATATTTTAAAGGATTCTGAAAATTATCATCAGATCACTTTCTCTAAAAGAACGAGGGATGTTATTATATATGTGAGATTAGGTTGCCTCTCATAATTGTGTTCTTAGAGAAGCATATTCTAGTAAGATTCGACCTGCTCATCAAACATGTCATAATAGCTGTGATACTAGAGCCTTTAACTATTCCCTCTTAATTAAGATACATGCACGAACCTTTTTAACTTTTCAACTTAACCTAATTTCTTGCCCTTTATTAAAAAACAAACCGGTCTTTTTGCATATTCATAATAATATAGGCCCTTGGTAAACTAGAAACTAGAAGAAGTATTCTTGCCTTCATAATAAAGTCTCATAACTGTGCCCTTGACTTTCCCCTTCATATAACCAACTCAGAAAACAAACCCCAATACAAGTTTATTAACTATGGTGATTAATTATTATAGGAAAAATGACAAAAAAATTAGAAATTTGTAAATTAAATGTCAAATAAGGAATGTGAACAAAAATTTGTTGTCATTTATAAATTCAGTGTTGTTGATACCAAATAAAGTGTTGTTATCAAACCTGATTTGGAATTGAGTAATTTTCAACTTTTTTTGTGTGGTCATGCTCCCTTAATTATATTCCCTAACACTTTACACATCTTTGTATACCTTGAGAAAAATGTGACTTAATTATAGTCTTTTAGTATTCCAGTTCTTAGACGAAAGCTCTTGAATGGCAACAATCATGGTACGTGGAATTAGAGCTGCCGGTGGTCCATATCTTTGCTTATTTATATATATAATTGCAGACATATGGAACATGTGTACAACTTTTTACTCCCTTATTTACCAATGTAAGATATTTTTAATCTTATAATACACCCACTCGTCATTTAAAACAAAAAACAAAAAAAAAATCCCTTCGGTTCTAAATGTATGAGCTAATAGTTAACTAAGGAGTTTGTTTGTCTTGATTCTAAATGTGAAGTCTCGATTTATTTTATCTTTCAAGTTTATAACTTTTTACGGAACCATCCGTATTGACTGAGCATGTAAAAGGGGTCTCTATCAATGAAAGGATTTTCCAATGCAAATTATTAGAGGTGTAATTTTAGGGGAAAAAAAATAACAGATTCTAATTTTACAGATAATTAATTTAAATAATTTTTTAAATATTTGTAAATTAGTTATCTACGGAAGGGAGGAAGTAGTTCATTAGTTTTAAAAGTCCAAATTTATTTCCAAATTTACCCTTAATACCATTACCAATCGTTAATTACTTGTTTCTAATGGAGCAGAATTTTGAGTGGCAAGTATGTGTGGGAAATGCTTCTGATTTCACCCCAGATAAATTATAAAATTAAAATAGTATCACAACGAATAAGTAATTAGTGCTCAGACCTCCACCTATATAAATAATGGGCATTAATAAATACCTTTTTGAATAACTTTGATCTAGCTTCATTACAAGATTAATTCCACAAGACTGAAATTTCTTTCGTTAAAATAATTTTAATTGACTTCTGTTTAATCCGTATTGAAATGAATACAAATGATGATTTTCTGGCAAAAACAAGTCTCTAGGGAATTTCTTTTATGAGAATATATATAATTGTAATTGATATCCCTATTGAATTTCTTTCATTAGGATAATTATAATTGAGTCAAAAGTCAATAACAATAGCACCGCCATATAAAAATCCTACATTTTTCAAACTATGCTGAATCAATCTATCAATATATATTATGAATTCTAAAATATTTTTTTTTGTGAAAATTCTAAAACTACTTTTCATTTCATATACTTTATTTATATTAAAAAATATGTCTATATATTTCCTTAATAAAAACAATAGTGTTAATTACATTGCAAAAAATTGGGGGAAAATAGACAAAAAGAATAATAAAGAACAGTGCTATACAGTACTCCATATACTTAGGTGAGCTTCAAACTTGCAATTGTGCAGTCTTTTCTTTCCCCAGTTGAGTGACAAAAATGATATCGATAGGTTTTTCTAATTCATTAAAATTTATTGACTGGTTGAAATTCAAATTAATTGATAGTAACTTTAAAAAAAAACTTAGTAACGTTGTGAGTAAGCTCTTGTAACCAATATGACAAAATTTTGTGATGGCATGGTGGTTAAAGGATCGTATTACTCTCTCATTGTTCCTAATATAAGAGTAAGATAATTAATTTACAGAAATTAATGAAATTGCATAAATTAGTTATTTGTTAAAAATATATATTAATTTTCCTAAAGTATCCTCTCTAATTATTTGTATTGGAATTACTTCTTGATAGAAACCATTTCAACATTTACAATCTATAAGAATAATTTAGAAAAAAATTTTATAAATTTGAGACATAAAGTGTATTAAGATCTTAATAGTTTACAACAAATCAAAGTAAACGCCTAATTAGTTAGCTTCTATGATTAGAACTAGAGGGAATTTAGTGAAAAGGTTACAAAAACTAGCTAGATATTATTTCAAACAATAAAATATTTAGGCAAATTCAATTAGATCTTCGTCATTTAACAAAATCAGAACAAGTCTTAATATTATTCAAAAAGCAATTATAACGATCCTCACTAATCACTTAATTATATTCAAGGTTTTTGTGAGATATATACAGCTAATTGGACCCAGCTTTTTCTGAAGATGACGACATAATGGCAATAGATATGAAACTATTAAGAACTTGGAAAGTTATTGAAGACAAACAGTGATCCACACTTAAATGAATTCCTCAGTGCTTTCATTACTCACTTTTCATATCTTGAAACCACTAAATATAATAATAGTATTACACTTTTGACATAGGCAATGGCATCTAACCAAGCACCAAAAAGGAATCTTCCTCACCGCCCACAAGGACACTTTGGTAATTTCCAAACCCACCCCTCATTGTTTGCACACTATAAATTTCAAACCCAGAAAACCACCCGTCTTCATTTCAAGACAGCAAAACCAACAACAATCAGATACAGAGACAGAGAAAGAGAAAGAGAAAGGAAAGAAAGATGAGGCCTTTGAAGAATAATAACAGTGAGGCTGTTATTAGTGTTTGGAAATCTCCAGTTCCTTATCTCTTTGGTGGCTTAGCTCTGGTTCTTGCTCTTATGTCTGTGGCATTGATCATCCTCTTCTGCTCTCACAGAAAAAGAGCTTCTTCTTCTTCTTCTTCGGCTTCGTCTTCGTCGACTCAGGAACAACGAGAAGGTGATGGCTTCATCAGATTGCAGGTCATGGCCATGGCGGACTCTGAGCCAAAGGTTCTTGTGATAATGGCTGGGGACGATAACCCTACTTACTTGGCTAAGCCAATAGTGCCATTATCGTACTGCACATGTGATCAACCTCAACCTCCGACTCCTTCTTCTTCTTCTTCAACCTCCATTAACAACAAAACGGTAACCTGAAGATCAGTGATTATTAGTCTTCTCGGAGAGACGGAAGCTGACTTTTTGATGGTTTTGTAGGCCTAAGGTTTCTGCTTTACTGGATATGTACATATGAGGTTAATTTTGCGGTTATATTATTATTTAGCTTGTTTCCTTGTCCCCAAGTTCTGGTTTTCATTTTTCTCTTACTTATTTGGAAACTAAACATATATATATATATATATATATATATCATTCGTATACACAGGCGTATATGTCATGCTCTTCATTTCATGTCAACTGTTTAAATACTACCACTGGTCCTTGATATATAAGACCCGGTTAATTAATTTGAAAAAAAATTAAGAAAGTTAAAATTATTTTAAAATATTTATATTCATCGTTTTTTCCAAACAAATTTGCCTGACTTATAAATATATATTTATATAAAATCTAATGATACATATAAATATTTGAGAGAGATCATATATGTAATATACACTATAATTAAATAATGTATTTGACTTCATTAATCTCTTTAAATTAGTTAAATGAGTATTATATTAAATACTGAAGGTGTTATAATGAGACAAAATACTCTGTTTTCTAATATAGTCCCCCTCTTATAATGAAGACGATTATGGGTTAAAACGAAGAGATATATACGACATTTCATGGTAATAAAGTTTTATAATTAGGATGGAAAATAGGGTCAATTAAACCACATGGTAATGGTGGTGTACCTGGACGCAAAATGCAGAATAATTAATCAAGTGGGGCAACACAAACAATTTCTAGTGGTCTTGGTCCAAACATTCTCATAATATTATTATATCTAGAGAGAGAAACAAAAAGACTGAGAGCTAGAGAGAGAGAGAATAAGGTTTTGTGGGTTGATGATCAAATAATTAATTATTTGCTACCATTATATGCCCCAAGGCCATCAAAAGTCAAATTGAAAAAAGAAGTGTTTGATTATATTTCATCAAAGAACAGAGAAGAAAAGTTACACTGTTTGATCTGCAAAAGTGGAAGCTAAACCAAGCATGTTTGGATTTTGGAATTAAACTTTATTCTCCCTAGTTTATTCCAAAACCAAGGCTTGGAGTTAAAACCAAAATCTGGATTTTGAAAGCTTTTCCAAGCATGACTAAGTGATTTTGTATTACATAAGATCAGTGTCTGAAATGAATTTTGTCTCGTAATATTAAAAGAACATTTTAAGTCATTATGAGGATTTGCTAAACAAACGCAAATGATAAAAATATAATTGTAATTTTATAATTTATATCATAGTATTATATACTACTTCGGATTCTTAATCTAAGAGCTAGTTGATTAATTTGAGCAGATTAAAAAAGTTTGTTAAGTTAGTTATTTGTAATAAATATGTGTTATTTTTTCTAGAATACCCTTTACTAATAATGTGTATTAGTTAAAATTGTGATTTTATGAAACTTTTAACATGTCCAACTACTATAAGAACTATTTCAAAAAAATAGATAAATATAAGAGAAAAAGTGGATTGGGGTCTTATATTTAGAACCAAACTGAATATCAAACTAGCTTTTATATTAAATACTAGAGGTAATAGTTAGATATTTTCAGAAGATTTTGTTCTTGGTATTTTCTCATATATTTAGCTTTACGCATATTTTTCATGGGCAGCAAAAGAAAGTTTAAAAGAAATGAATCATAACTTGGGAATAATAAAAATTTTATTCTATTTATTAATATACTGACTGGACATATTTTTATGTGCAAATAATTTTCTGATAATATACATTTATAATGAGCTATTATTTTTTTCCTGAATGTATAATGAGCCATTAATATTCATGATGTGATATTCCTTTAGCGGGGTGGCCTTTCGCTTTGTGATGCATATATATCCAAAAAGATTTTTAGGGGTTTAAAGCAAAAGTTAGAGGCAGCGACGAAACGCATTGTCGTTTCCAACGTCCTTTCTCCAAAGTGATTTTGTTTGCTTCTGCGATATTAGTCGTCTGTAAAACGCGGAGGCTCGATCCGACTCACCAAAGTCTTTTTGCCACAAAAAAAAAAAGTCCATGTCCACCATAGACAACTCATCAGTGCTCCCTTTTTTAATATCATCATCATAATTTGAATATTAACTAAACAAAATTGTAATTTTCAAAATTAATATTTAATTTTGAAAATTCTGTAAAATGTTGCAATCAAAATTTAATTTTTTTATTACATTAATTAGGAGTTTAAACATTGATACTACCTCCAGTCCAATTTTTAGTTATTACATTGATTTTAAATTATTTCAATTCATTATGAAAAGTTATTTATATTCGAGTAAGATAAATAAATTAAGGTGAAAAGGGGATATTCTTTGATAGGGAAATTCATTTTATGAGGGTTGTTGAAGTTAGATCTTAGAACTTAGAAGCAGATCAATATGCTGCGAATATTCTTTTATTTCAAGACAGGTATGAGCCATGGATGGTGGTTGCAATCATACAAAGGGCGAATTTAATTATAAGTTGGATAGACCAAACTTCTAATATAATAATGTTATAAAAAAGCTAATTAGTTGCATATTTAATATATGTTGTGTTACATTAATGTACTATAAACAAGAAAGAAATTATATAATTGAATTTTAGGGTTATTTTAAAATGTATCATTCATATAGAATGTAACAGAGATAATCTTATCATTAAGGAATTAACCTAAAATCAATGAGAGTTAGTATTTAATATTATATAATACCAGGGATTCCAATCCCATCTGGAAATGCAAAGTTTATGACTGACTGATATTGCTCATCATTATTTAGCTATTGCATTTATTTTTCTTCTTGTCGGTCCCGTTAATCTTAAATATAAAATCCACTTTGTTGTGCAAATTTACACTTCAACAAAGTGAATCTTATATTTACGAGTGGAACTAATATGTTTTATGGGTAAATAATTTAAGAATTGAGGGTATTAATTTATAACCTGACTTGCAGAGATAAGCAAATTAAATGCATCAAGACAGTTTAAAAAAATAAATTACGACAAATAATATAGCTGTGTTTTTTTTTTTTTGGGTGTACTTCGATTCTTAGCAGACATATGAGCGACGCACATGTTATCCACTTTTACGCATACATGCACCAAATATATTGAAATTGATTATCATTTGTGCCTTGGACATTTTTGACATAATCACATCCAGGTACTATCAAATTCAATTGAAAATCGCTTTTGGCTTAATACAAACTTTTATCCTGTATCCTTATTTTGATTTTAGTCCTTCAAATTTCAAATGATAGGATTTGGTCCCTCAAGTTTCTTTTCATTTAAAATATTGGTTCTTATAATCAAATAAAAACTTCGATCATTTTGTCCTTTGAAGAGCTAAAACTTATGGCTTGAAACTTGAGAGACTAAAATCAAAATAAGAACAAATTTGAATAACCAAAGATTATATTAACCCATCACTTTTTAAAAGATTTTTATCGTGTGATTTTCACCTCATAAGAAAGAGATATCTTCTCTTTAATCTTTCCTTCTCATTCTCTTTCTTCATCTCCTTCTTTTTCTAATAGTTAGATTGACATAATCAACAAGAATTGATCCAGTGAATAAAGAATCACCTAATAATCCACAAGTTCGTAAATTCAAACCCCGCTACTGATACGAGGATCTTGTTGATGGGCAATTTGTGAGTATTCTTTATAAGGGCACTCTGAGCCTGAAAGCATCCTTTATCCTGGTCAACTCACCTAAACTTTTTGTCCAAAAAAAAATTAGTTAAATTGGCATTTTTAATAGTTTAGGTTTTAATATTTTTAAAATTTATTTATATTTTTTTTGTTAATATAAACTTTGGTCCTTCAGATTTATTATCATTTTGGTTTTAGTCCCTCAAATTTCAAACAATATGTTTTTGTCTCTCAAGTTTCTTTTCATTTAAAATATTAGTCCTTATAGTCCAATAAAAATTTAGACCATTTTGCCCCTTGAGGAACCAAAATCTATTGTTTGAAATTTGAAGGACTAAAACCAAAATGAGAGCAAACTTAAAAAACCAAATATTATATTAACTCAATTTTTTTTTTCAAAAATCCTCCACTATGAACTTATTCAATGCTAACAAGTTTTCTTTTTTATTTTTATTCTCACCCTGTATTAAATTTCTGATCTTTCCTATTGTTGTTGTTGGGCTACCTAGCGAATAGATCTTGTGACATTTTTTGTTCTTAAAAAAACTTTATAAGCGATCTTGTGACTTCAAGGTGAGGCTTCCTCCTCAGCTCGTTGATTACAATTGGGCTTCAAAAGGCCCAATTTAGATAATTGAGCAACGTTTGAGTTTTGCCACCCAACAAAATTACACCTTTTTATACAGCACAAATTAAATTTTTATTAAAAATATTTTTTTTAAAACTATATATAATGCATTAGGCCTACATATAGTTATTATAGCAATGAAAGACTTAATTTTCGGAATTTATTTTTATATGGCCGGAAAAAAATTCAAGAAATAGTTTTCCATATTTAAGAGTGTTAATTCTCCACATTATTCAATGAAATATTATTTTTAATTAAGAAGAACGAGCACTAATAGTTAACAATACCTCCTTCGATAATTAATATAAGAGCTAGTTAAAAATTAGATTTGATTCTAAATATAGGACCTTAATTCACTTGGTCTCCTAAATTTATAATTTATTTTTTAAAATATTCCTATTAATTACACCTATTAAGGAGATTTCTATCCAAGAGTGGTCATGATTAAATGGATACTTTAGGAAAATCAACTCATACTATTTACAAATAACTAACTTTCTTAATCTATACATACATAGTAATATTTGTCTACAAAAAAGATTATATATTATAAAAGGTGAATAAGTCTCCTAGAGGATTCTATCTGCAATGTTATCTGAATAATCCCTGTTATCTAGATAAGTCATTATGATTTATCATCCGCATAGCTCCAAATAGATAGATGTTACTTGTTAGAGTTGGCCAGTAAATCTGTGCCTCTAAGTTGGGGATTTTTTTTTAATGAAATAAAAGAAAGGAAGAAAGAAAAGAAAAAATAAATAAATAAAAGAAAGAACCTTTTTTTTCTCCTTATTTTCTCTATTCTAATCTCTCCCTTTCTCTTATTCCATGCTCTATATCATTTTAAAAAAATAATTTGTCAATCCTTAT